ACCAAAGTGATAAAATTAACCTGCATTGTTTTTTTTCTATTTAAAATGTAAAAATAAATATTTCCCGAATACTAGAATTATTTTAACTACAATTTTCGAAGTTTCAGTAAGTGAAATTAACTGAGTAAGAAAAAAGGTGAATCCAACGTTCCCCGTCGCATGCTTTCAAAATCCTAAAATGCATGAACTACTCTTTTCTTCAATTGTATACGTAATTGAATCATGCATTTTTTGCTCTTTTCTCTACAAACCTGTATTTGTTGTCGCGCTGGTATTCTACTGACAACGAAACAAAATATTTAGCTACCTATACTTTTATTGAAAATTCTCTTGTTAGCATTTTTAATGTAAAGATTTTACTTCTCTAAATTTACATGTACTATACGCATAATTGCAAATGCAAATAGATTCGTTTTTCGATAATAATCGTAATAATTCGATACATCACGAGTGATACGATAGACTCGAGCTGCAATATGTACGCGTGCGCGAGTCCGCCAACGTGTATCTATGTATTGTGCCACTGCAGTCCGCTGCAGCGGAGCAGCGTCCCGCCGCTGTCACAGAGCGCGGGTTCGCGCCCTGTGGCCGGGCCGGCAGCTGCGTCATATTGAGCGAGACCGAGATCTCTGGGAGGCCCGAATTTAAACCGCCTGCTTTTATTAATTTTTATTAAACCTCTTATATGTACCGCGGCACCTCACTGGACAAACGGAGCGTCGGCGGAGAGGATTCAAGGCTATCGACGGCGGAGAGCGCTTGGGGTAAGGGCGACCTGGCGCAGGAGCTAAGAGGGCACGCACCGAGCACGCGGCGAGCAGGTGACAGAGCGGGCACACGCGAAGCGCGTGACCACGCGCAAGGATACAAGACCCGCCAGAGGCGCGACCGGGAAGGCGGGCGCTGTAGCTGAGGCCCGCGAAGGGCGATACGGCCGGCGATTTCCCTAGGGCCCGGGGCCATTGCCGAGAGCTGCCGGGGCGAGATAGCCAACTCGTCTCGGAATTCAAAGGCGAAGGACGCGCCCATCTGATACCACGCAGCCACATCCCGGATATAGGGTGACATCGCGAGGGCGCGAGGCGCCCACATGCAGAATCACCTGATTACGCCCGTGCCACGGCAGGACCCCCGCGGCGCCGTGATTGGTCGCGGCCGATTGCGCCGCTGTGTTGCGCACCCCCGGACTGGGGATGCAGGCATCGATCGCGGATCGAGCGCGATCTACGCCGCTTTTGCGTGCGAGCGGTCCTAGCGTGCGGACGAGTAAAGCGAGCTAGCGAGATAGCGAGAGAGCGAGCGATTCAGAGAGCGAGACAGAAGGACGAGCAGCTGTCGGCCCGGAGGAATCCGCGATGAAGCCGAAGTGGAGATCGTGCCGGTGAGGTGACTCTCTGTGTTCTGAAGGTGTAAAGCCACGGGCGGATCGGGAATCTCGCTCGCACTCTGCGGACGGAAACGCCATTTTTGAGTTAGAGTTTCGTCGCGTGCGCCCCTCTGGCGACGCGTGTTTCATAGTTTCTTTTTCGTTTTGGCGTATTGGCGTCCGTCCTCAAGTGCGAGGGTTCGCATCGAATCTTGCCGTGAGCTACCGTAAGTGCCGCGTTCCGCGTATCGAGCCACCCGGGGATCGTCGCCGCGAGCGAGCCGCAAAGCCCTCGCGCACGAGTGCGCGAGCGTTAATGTGAGTGCGCGAGTACTCGAACAGCGAGTCCTCCTCGTAGAACTGACTTGTGACATTGCGCGCGATTTCGTCGCGTATCGGCGTAGATAATTTTCTGTCGGTCTTTCGTCTCTGTATGCGTGTTCGACGTATTAGCTTATCATCGGGATTATTGATTACGCTTGTTGTCGTTAGATCTCGGTACTCGCATCGTACCAAGCCTCGTTTTTTTTTTGTAATACCTTACCGTCTAGTTCGATTACGTTCGGATATGCCGGTCGAATCCCGTTAATAGTTTCTTTTTTTTGTGAGACCGGACATTGTCTTGACACCGGATTATCTGCGTGTAACCACGCCAAGCGCATCTTTTCTTTTCTGTGGACTTTTTTCCGTTATCACCGAACTGTATACTATCTCCCGCTGTTTCGTACCGCCTACGCGGTTATTAAACGGTATAATTATTTTCTAATTTGAAGTACGATTTCTTTCGCCCGTCCCGCGCTATCCTATCGTCCGTCGCCTAGTTCGTCCTTAGTTCCGCCCTGCCCCTCTGCCGTTAGGTAGAGCCGGCCGGCCCTCGTACGATCGACCTTGGGGAGTGGCGTTCGTCCGTGGATTGTAGAGTATCGTCGCGCGTAAGGACCTTTCTCGGGCTATCGCGTAAACGCTGCGTTTCGCGAGTGACGTGCCATCGAGCACGTCTGGCGCCCAACCTTCGCGTCGCCACTCCGTGTCGGTCGTGGGAAGGACGAGGCTGACACCTTCCCTCCAGGAAATCGTTCGCGATTTCCCTCCTCCCGTTTTGATCCGTGCTCGCGCGAACCAACAACCCCGTGGAGCACGTGACAGTATATATATATTATATATCTCTATCGTACTAGAGAAACGGTTATTGTTTTTCGCGACGCTGGCTGCAGCGAGTGTACGTGTAGGACTTACAGTCAGCTGTGTTTTATTTGTGTGGTCAACAAATATTATATTATTGTATAGAAGTGTTGGTGTAGTGCTACGTCCGTAGTGCATTGCGAATTAAGAATCTACATCTAAAAACAAGTAAGTTTTTAACCTTGTGGTATTCTTAAAGCACACAAAATGTCAAATATTTGTAAACTCAAAAATGTGCGTACTCATAGTAGTACTTGCATTTATAAGAACTGTGGTATATATAGTAGAGAAAATTTATTAAATGTTCGATTTCATCGTTTGCCTGTTGAAGATAGAGAACGATTAATAACGTGGTTGGTAAATAGCGGTTGTGATGATTTAGCGGAAGAATCCGATGCAGATTGAGAAAGTTTGGAATATGTAGTAGGCATTTTCCAACAAATATGATATATCCAAGCAATAGATTAAAAAAGAATGCGGAGCCATTATTATATCCTGTCGATCTTGACGATGAGGAATGTATTATGTGACGGTTCGCTTTTCTTGCGCTCGGATATGCTCGTCGGGCCAGGTATGCAAGAAAGCGTGAGACTATCAACGCGTGTTAGCGAGATTTTACCGAGGTTTAGAGGGACGGTCGGTAAGTCAGCGGGACCGGTCAGCGGTAAATCCGGTGCTCCGTGCGGTTCGGTCAGTAACGAGCGGAGCGGGCGTGGGATGCCCTCGACGGTCGATTATAGGGCGGCAGTGCGACCCTTAGACGCAGCGAGATCGGTAGTTGGTCTGTGTCGGCCAGGCGCCCTGGCCCGACAGAGAGAAGTCAGGCGCCCTGGCCTTCTCTGTGCGCACGGTGTTGGTGCCAACGGGGTGCCCTGATCGGGCGGAAGGCGAAAAAGCCAGGCGCCCTGGCTCTCTTCGCTGAATGCAGGAGATGTGAAGAAGTCAGGCGCCCTGACCCTCTTCGCAGGGGACGCAAGGAAGCCAGGCGCCCTGGCTCTTTAGCCCAGTCACTAGGTAGTTTTACCTGGAAAGACTCGAGGGAGTTTTGATA